GATGATGAATGCGAAAACTACAGCAACCCAATTCCGACATGACTACTCATGGTCCAGACCCTTCAGGAATGAAGATTTGGGTCATGCCCCACCCCACCCCACCCCCTGCAGCAAAGAATCACAATCAGCTGAGATGCTTGCTAAGGGTAAAGGGAGTGTAGTACGGGTAGTAGAAGAAGGTAGTTATAAATACCAGCTACAACCACGTGACCAGTTGCAGAAATGAGGACTGTAATTATTACAAGTATTTCTTCCTTGTTTTGTTATTAATATGTTTGTGTGTGTGTACACATATATACACCCATTGCCATCTAGTCAATTCCACCTCATAGCAACCCTATAGGGCAAAGTAGAACTACCCCACAGGGTTTCCAAGGAATGGCTGGTGGATTCAAACTGCCGACCTTTTGGGATAGCAGCCAAGCTCTTAACCACTGCACCACCAGGGTTCCACACACATATATAGCAAATAGAAAATACCTTTATTTTCTTCCCTCTCTTATCTCATTGCTTATCATAAAATACAAGACCTAAAGGTGTTAGTCCGCTTTTTGTTTATACACGTTAGTTGTATCACGTTAGGCAGAAGGGATGTAATAATTGTCTTTATTTGGAGATTATGTATGGTTTAAGGACATGTGTACAGATGCCAAGTTGACAAGGGGTAGACTGTAATGGTCAGTTTTATGCGCCAACTTGACTGGGCTATGACTCCCAGTGATTTGGCCAAACACTAGTCAGTATCCCATAATGTAATGTAATATAATATAATCAATCAATCAGTTGAAAGGGGAGTTTCCTTAGGGTGTGGTCTGCCTTTAGACTATAAATAGATATTTTGGAAGAATTAACTCTGTTTGTCTTTCTCTCTTCTCTCTCTCCATCTCTCTCCTTCTCTTGACTCTGCACTCTTTCTATCCCCTGCTGCACCATGAGGATGCATGCCCTGACCTGATGGAGAGGTCAACACATCATGCAGACATCCAGCACTGAGCAGGACAGCATGGGACGTTGGGTTGAGCCCACTTGGGGAGGGAGTAAGTGTGTTCTGTGTGGGGAGGAAGAGTAACATGGATGTTTGGAGGCCAAAGGATGGACTGCAGTAGATTGTCTTGATCCTAACCAATTCTATTTTCTGTTCTTGGACACTGAGGAAGACTAGCCTCCCTTGCAGGTCGATTGGGCCCAAATGACTGGCTTTGGCCAATGGAATGTGGATGGAACTGAGGTTTGCTACTTTCAGGCCTGGCCATAAAACTACCTGTACAGTCCTAACTCTCTTTGCTCTTGAGTAGGTTGAATGCAGAGGGCCACTGGAAGATTCTCAGGAGGTTCTAGAACTGTACTGTCCAATAAAGTAGCCAATAGTTAGCTACAAGTGGCCTCTGACCACTTGAAATGTGGCAGTCTAAATTGAAATGTGCTTCAGATATATAATACTCACTGGATTTCAAAGATTTAATATGAAAAAAAAGAATGCAAAATATCTGTTTAATGGCTTTTATACAATTACATGTAATATTTGGGATATTAGGGGTTAACTGAAATAGATTGTTAAAATTAATTTCATCTGTTTCTTTTTCCTTTTTAATGCAGCTACTAGAAAACTTTAAATTACATGTGTGGCTCACATTATATTTCTATTGGACAGCATTATTCTAGAACAGTGCTTCTAAACCTTTTTTTCATTTTTACTCCCTAAGCAGCCCTTTTAGACTTTTTTTCCTAACCTCCCCCAACCTTCCCTCCCCCCATGAAATTGTAATACTCAGATAGATATACTGTGTATCTGTTTATGTAACTTGGCCCTGGTGATAGCTAAGACTTTTTCACCATCCAAAAACCAAGTGTTTCCCCCTTGGATGCCATATCTCCTGTGTTGACAGCGCATGTTTTACAAGATGGTGGCACTACAAGATGGAAGGGGCCAGAGTCCCTGAGTCACCACATAAACGGCTGCTAAACCAAAAAAACCTAAGCCCATTCTTATCAAGTCGATTCCAACTCATGGTGATCTCATGTGCTACAGAGTAGGACTGCTTCATGAGGTTTTACTGGCTGTAATCTTAATAGAAACAGACTGTCAGGCCTTTCTTCTGCAGTGCTGCTGGTAGGTTCACACTGCCAACCCTTAGTTTAGTAGCCAAGTGCAAACTGTTTGCACCACCCAAGGACTTGGAAGGCTGCTACCCAAGGGTCTTAGTTATCTCGTGCTGGTATAACAGAAATATCACAAGCAGGTGGCTTTAATTAACAGAAATTTATTTTTTCACAGTTTAGCAGTCTAGAAGTCCGAGTTCAGGGCATGGGCTCTAGGGGAAGGCTCTTTCTCTCTGCCTGCTCTGGTGGAACGTCTTTATCTCTTTCCAACTTCTATTCCTAGGCTCCTTGGCAATCATGCGCCATGTATCTTCCTCCCCTCTCCCCCTCTCCCGTTTGTGCTTGCTTGCTTAATCTGCTCTTTTATATCTCAAAGGATTGACTTGAAACATACCCTACACTAATACTGCTTAATCAAATACTACTAATCAAAGAAAACCAAATGGGACTATAACCACAGGTATAGGAGGTTAGGATTTACAACACATATTTTTTTGGGACACAATTCAATCCATAACACCAAGCAAGAAACAAACCATTATTGTATAAGCCACTGAGATTTTAGAGTTGTTTTAGAGGCGATCATTGATTACCTTGACACACCAAACCGTAGAAGATTTTACAACAGCACCAATAAACCAAAGAGCTCTTACAGAATCATAAATTACGGATCAACACAGCCCAGGCTACATACGATCTGAATGCCTCACCATGTCACACAAACCTCCCCAGAACCACCCCATGGTCTGGCACTGGCCAACATCTTCATGTCTCACGGTGTCTTGCCTAACACCCAACATTCCAGCTATAATGAACTTGTATGGCAGTTTCACCCCACTGTGTCTTCTTCACTCCCTGTGCTCGCTCTACTTGGAATGACATTCTCCTCTTTGCCTGGCAAGTCTTCCTTCAAACTCAGTTCTGGTGCCACTTCCTACAGGAAGTTCTACCAGCCACTGCCGCTTCTGGGCTCCACTCTGCCCCATAAATGCATTGGCCAGAGCCAGAGCTGTTTTATGCATTAAGCACTATGGAGAATTGACTAACACAAAAACAAAATGCCCTAGACCACCACCTCAAACATAGAGGAGGAAAACAGAAAGATACAGTGGTCTTGACCTGTTGCACTTAAAATATTTTACTTTTGCAAATTTTACAAAACATATGACCACGTGAACACATTGGTAGGGGCCCTCCCAGGGTAAAGAAAAGAACCCTGTAAGTGAGGAGCCCTGAGGCTTAAGCCCCACGGCTTAAGCCCTACAGAGAATGAGATCATATCTGTGAAAGGCTTTGCACACTGTAATGTGCCTGCACATGGGAATTTTTTTTTTTATTGTTGTGCTTTAAGTGAAAGTTTACAATTCAAGTTAGTCTTTCAAAAATTTATACGTACATTGTTTTGTGACCCTAGTTGCTCTGCATATACAGTGACAGCACACTCTTCCTTTCCACCCTACATTTCCTGTGTCCATTCAACCAGCTCCTGACCCTCTCTGCCTTCGCATCTGGCCTCTGGGCAGGAGCTGCCCATTTAGTCTCATGTATCTACTTGCGCTAAGAAGCACACTGTTTAGGAGTATTTTATGTCCCATAGTCCAGTCTAATCTTTGTCTGAAGAGTTGGCCTTGGGAATGGTTTTAGTTTTGGGCTAAGAGAGTCTGGGGGCCATGTCTTCTGGGGTCCCTCCAGTTTCAAACCATTAAGTCTGGTCTTTTTACTAGAAGTTGAGCTGTGCACCTCACTTTTCTCTTGCTCCATCAAGGACTCTCTGTTGTATTCCCTGTCAGGGCAGTCATTGGTGATAGCCAGGCACCATCTAGTTCTTCTGCTCTCAGGCAGATGAAGACTTTGGTTTATGTGGCCCCTTCTGTCTCTTGGGCTAATACTTCCCTTGTGACTTTGGTGTTCTTCATTCTCCTTTACTCCAGGTGAGTTGGGACCAATCGATGCATCTTAGATGGCCGCTCACTAGCTTTTAAGATCCTACTCACCAAAGTAGGATGCAGAACATTTTCTTAATAAGCGTTGTTATGCCAGTTGACCTAGATGTCCCCTGAAAGCATGGTCCCCAGACCAACGCCCCTGCTACTCTGTCCCTCGAAGTGTTTGCTTGTATTAAGGCAACTTCTTAGCTTTGGTTTAATCCAGTTGTGCTGACTTCTCCTGTAGTGTGTGCTGTCCTTGCTTTCACCTAAGATAATTCTTGTCTACTTTCTAGTTAGTGAATACCCCTCTCCCTCCCTCCCCACCCTCATAACCATCAAAGAATGTTTTCTTCTGTGTTTAAAACTTTTCTTGGGGAACTATTAAAGTAATTCAACAAAATAAATATTTGTCGAATTATGTTGCATGACAAGCATATAGCAAGTGTTTTTTGACTGAATACTTGACTGGGCACAAGAGGATTTAATATGGCATTTAGTAAGGCCGTGGATGCACTGAGGGCCCAAAGACAGTTATTCTCCCTCGGGACAAAGGGGATGAGGAAAGGGTGGTGGGAGGCAAGGGGTGAGTGAGAGTTGGAAAGGGGCACGTTAGAGGGAAGAGGAACAAAGAGAATAGGAACTGAGAACTAATAAAACCAAATACTGGATTCTAACTGTGGAAAGTAAATATACCCAGTACCAAACGTCCAGGCAATTTTGGGAGACCCGGAGGAGAAACCGGCGAAGTGACGCTGCTCAGCCCCGCCCCCAGATCAGACCCTCCTTCCGCCGCTTTCCACTTCCCACCCCCCGAAAAAAAACCAAACGGCTTACCTCTACCCGGCCAGCTCCCATTGGCTATGCATACGAGCGAAGTCCACCTGGACCACTGAGCTGCGGCCACGGCTTGGCGAGAGCCTTCCGGCCCGCCCCCTAGCCGCGGGCCCGCCCCGCTCCCTACCTAGCATGGGCCGAGGGCGGAGACTTCGTGGCTGCAGGAGCGCGACGCGCAGTGGAGTTCAAGCCGCGGGAGAGCGGGACTGCAGCCGGGGCGCTCAGCATGGCTCGCCTAGTGCTCAGTAGGTGCGGGGCCCGGCGGCGAGTGCTGTCGCCCTGGGACAGTGAGGGTCGGCGTGGGGGGCTTCCTGGTCCCAGAGGGGTGGCGTCCGTGAAGGCCCCCAGCTCCCACACGGCGGGCCTGGAGCCGGGTGAAGCTGGGGACGGCGGGGCCTAGCCCGGGGTACCCGGGGAGCGCAGGGGACGCACCTCAGCCGGCGCTCCAGGGACGCGGGCTTCCCTTCCCTGGCCAGTCTCGTGAGTGGGTGCGTTGCTTCAGTCAAGGCCGCGTTAGGGTGGGGATTCGCCGGGCCCAACCCACGCGGGAGCGTCCTCGGCTTTGTGTCCTGGTGGGGGGCGGGTAGGGGAAGTCGTGTGGAGAAGGAGAAGGGGCTGCCCTTGACCGAAGTTTCCCCTGCGAGGCTTTCCAGTCGGAGGGATCAGTTTTCCTTTGCCCGGACTCGAAGCGGCCGGAGTCGGGGCGAGCGTTGGGAGGGCGCGGGCACCCTTGGGTGCAAGGGGCTTCCGTAGACCGAACCTGGAGGGGGTGTGGGCGTGACGGCGTGTTTGGGGAGGAGGGACCATTGTACTTTACGGGAGCCTGCACCGCGTGGGCCCAGAGAGTGTAAATTCCTTTCCCCTAAACTCCGCGGCGTTTTAGGGCGCATGAAGGAATGGAGGCCGGGAAGGGGCACACACAGGAGACACTTTTCTGTGGCCAGTGTCCGAGTGCCGGGTGGTGAACTTGTGCAGAGGGGGCATCGGAGCGGTCCAATCGTGAGCAGTTTTCATGTTTTCTGCGTGGAGAGAGAAGCAGCCAAGTCAAGGAGCTGCTTTTGAACCACTAAACCCAGCTAATGGCATAATCCATGGGGGAGGTTCATCTGGGCCACATCCCGCTTCACGGATGTTTGGCTTTAAGCCAAAAGGGAAGACCTTGTTCTTTTCCAACTACATCTGGGAAGAACTGAAATATTAGAAATCAGTTCTGAAATAAGACTGATTGTTCCACTGGAAGGGGGCACAATACAGTGCTTCCAAAAGCTCGTCTTAAGATACAAGAGTACTTTAAATGTGAGCGAACTTTTTAAAAACTGAATTGAGCCCAGACTTTGATGAATTAGGTAAATATCTGTTCTAGAGACTACGGTGAGCAGAGTTTGAGTGCATAGGCTTGCCTTGGCCATATCCAAGGCACTATAACAGTCGTTGACAGCACGCTATGGAGCTTGACCTCGTGGGTTTGAATCCCAGCCGGTTTTCTCTCCCATGTACTCACTGTGTGACCAGGAGCAAGTTGCTTAACCCTTCTGTGCCAGTGCTTTTTCATCAGTAAAATGGGGCTGATAATAGTACTCCATAAAGTTTGTTCTGAGGATTAATGAATTAGTACATGTGAAGAATTGATTGTCAGAGAGTAAACAAGATATAAATGTTTGCTGTTATTGCTGTATAGAGAGGAGATGAAGGAAAAAGATTTTAGTGTCCGTTTAGTTTCCTGTGAGTGAATTCAGACAAGGTTCCAGAAGAGTCTGAGATTTTATTAACTCATTATTTTAATAATTGTAGTTAGCCTTTTGGGTAACCATCTAGGATTCTAGATGACTGCTTTGGGACCATATACTCTTGCTAGCAGGTGTGGGTAGAACAGGGATGTTACTGATGTGGATTTATAACATCCTTAAATACTATGGAGGAATGGGAAGTTACAGATGGCAAAACCATCTGCTCATATAGATTCTAGACACTCAGCTGTTCAAGTTGCCGATTGGTGCTTAATATCAGTGAGTGGGAATGTCGATGTGAATTTTAGAAACAGAACATTATTGGTCATCATTGACCTACTTTGCCATCTTAAATGAGCCCAAGGTTTTTTGTTTTGGGGATTTGGGGTAGGGGGGAATTCTTGGCTACTTTTATACTGTCAGAATTTACACATCTTCTATTTGTTCTTTCTGCTTGATTCCATTGTTAACTGTACTAGGTCTTATTACCTTTTAAGGAATTTAGGTCTCAAACTTTTATCAAGACATTTTCATTGCATAGCCATTGGTAAGTAGGGGAGGCTCTGCTGAGTAGTAGGCAAAATTAACAAAAGTCCATTACCATTACTAGAAAAAAATTGCCCAAGCCTATGTTCTCCTGAGTATCAGTAATCTTAACCATCTTAAGGAAAGGAAGGCACATTCCTGGGGGAAAAAAATATCATGGTCCGTCTCTTGGAGGCCCCGTCCTGCTTGAAACAGCCTGAAGAGGAAAGTGTATTGTGTATTGCTATCCCTGATTGGCAAGAAAAGAGAAAGAACCTAATGACCCTCCGTGGGATTAAACTACTATATTCTCCAGTCTATTGCTTAGAAATTTGGCTTGCATAACCCTGTTCTAGCTCTTTCTAATTATGTGGCCTTGCGCAAGTTACTCATTCTATAAAATGGGTATGATGATACAAACCACATAGGGTTATTTAAAAACAAAAAAACAAAATCCATTGCTGTTGAATGGATTCCATCTCATAGCGACCCTATAGGTTTCCAAGGAGCGCCTGGTGGATTCGAACTACTGACCTTTTGGTTAGCAGCTGTAGCTCTTAACCACTACACCACCAGGGTTTCCTACTGTTATTTAATGAGTTAATAATATATGCTGTTTAGAACAGTGCCCGGTACATAGTTAGTGTCATATAAATGTTAGCTGTTATTGTTAGTATTTTGTTTTGCCCTCCAAAAAAAGGTAAAAATGCTGCTTTCTGGAGAATAGTTGAACATATACATAGGTCAAAATGTTAGCCGTACCTCCTGATCTCCCCTTGTAAGAACTTCCCTCAAGGAAATAATCATATCCATTTAAGGGGGGAAAAAAGTATAATACTTTTCAGCATTGGGCTGTTACTAGTGAAAAGCTAGAAATAATCAAAATGTCCAGCAATAGTGGACTGGCAACACGAGTTAGCCACTAATTAGGGGGTAATAAGTAATGCATAGTTACTTAGGTGGAAAATGTCTGTAACTTATTATTGAATGAAAAGATTATAGAAGGATATGTATAGTAGGATTCCATTTATATAAATATAATAATAAAATTTGAGGCTTCTGTATGTGCGTAGAGAGATGTCAGTAAGGCTGTTCACAAAGATACCAATCGCTTATGCTGCTGAGACTGTCATTGGCCTTTCTTTTGTTTTTCCATTTTTGAAATTTTCACAATGCGCTCAGTGCATCGAATTTATATCAGTACATATCAAGTTTACAGAAAAAGGTAAACTTCTTTAAAAGTAGTAATCTCCATAGAGGTTTACCCGAGGCCAGTCTTACTCTCAAACTTATCCATAGTTGAACTGTCTCCGCTTACTTTCCTGATCTGTTGCTTTGTGAAACATGTCGCATTCTGCTTAACGTTTCCTGCGGCCACCGCTCGCCGATAGAAATAGAATGCAAACTATGTGTAATTTTCCTGTAACCACATTTAAAACGGCAAGAAGAAACGGGTAAAATTAATTTTAATATGTATTTATATGTCTAATAGATACATCCAGTGTCATTGTTGCTAGGTGCCATCAAGTCGGTTCCTACTCATAGTGACCCTTTGTACAACAGAATGAAACACTGCCCAGTCCTGTGCATTCCTATGTCCAGTGTATCAAAAATATTACCATTTCAACATGTAATCGGTATAAAAATGTTAATGAGATGTTTTATTTTTTTTCCTCCCTACCAAATCTTGGAAATTCGGTGTGCTTTTTACACTTATAGCAGATCTCGGTTGGGATAGGTGTGTGTGGCTAGTGGCTACCGTATTGGACAGCAGTTACAGAGGGAGCAGACCCGTCCGTTGATCTTTCTTAACTCTGTCCACACTCATTCTTTCCCACCTCTTGGATGTGGAATAGGAGGTCATTGTGTCAAAGGCTCCTCCTTCACTGACTCTGCATTCCCTCCCCTCCTCCTGACTCTGGGTATTTTGCTCATTTGGTGATTTCTTGTACTTTGTCTTTAGTCTCTCCCTCTCTGCATGTTTCTTCCCTTCACCCCCATCTTCAAAAAGAAACCTTCCTTCTACCCCACATTTGCTTGTTCTCTCCAGCTCTTTACAGTGAAACTTTTGAAGAGTTATCTGTATTGTTCTCTCTGACTTGTTCCCTCCTACTTTCCTCAGTCCACTGCAAACTGGCTGCTGCTTATTTTCACTACACTGTGACTGCCACTCACCAGTGACTTCTTTGTCATTAAATCCAATAAGCAGTTTTTAGTCTATTCTAAGTTACCTGTCCATAACCAAAAAAATCAAACCAAACCCACTGCCGTCGAGTCAGTTCTGACTGATAGCGAGCCTGTAGGACAGAGTAGAACTGCCACATAGGGTTTCCAAGGCTGTAAATCTTTCCGGAAGTGACTGCCACATTTTTCTTCTGTGAAGGATCTGGTGGATTCAAACCGCTGACCTTCCAGTTAGCAGCTGAACACTTTAACCACGGTGCCATCAGGACTCCATCCTCTATACCTGCCCACTAGTAATCCTTAACTGTTGCCCATTCCATCTTTCCCTTTGTTTATGCGACAAACACTCTCTGGATTGTTCCATTTTAATTTCTCCAGTCCGCCCTCCACGTGGCAGCAAAAGTCTTTCTAGAAAGCAAATTCCATCATATCCCCTGGATGAGAACCCTTTAAGTGGCTTCACATTACTCTTAAAGTCCAGTTTTATTTCATAAGTGTCTAGAATGTTAGCAGCATCTATAATTTTTAAATGCAATATTCTTGAATAATGTAGGTAATTGTTTATTCATGCCTGTGGCATGAACCATTTTATTTTGAGTACTTATAAAAAACAACATGATTTAATAGAAAAAAGTTTGGAGATAGGAATCAGAAAGCTAGTTTGCCACTGATTGTACCAAAAAAAACACCAGTTCCTCTCGAGTCGGTTCAAGTTCACGGTGACCCCATGTGTTTCAGAGTAGAACTGCCCTGTATAGAGTTTTCATGGCTCTGACTTTTCAGAAGCAGATCTCCAGGCTTTTCTTTTAGGGCGCCTCTGGGTGGATTCGAACCAACAACCTTTCAGTTAGTAGCTAAGCACTTAACCATTTGCTGCACCCAGAGACTTCCCCATTGATTATATATGTGACCATAGACAAAGGGCTTGATCTCTTCCTGCCTTTGTTGCTTCATTTCTAAAATGGGGATAGTTCCTGCTTTCTAGTTAGTAATGCTGTGGCAAATCAAGTGATCTAATGTATTTGAAAGTACTGTTTAAGACGGAGGCTTTGGTAGCAGGACAGTTAACATTGGTGTACACACCTTCCAGAAGAAATTTATCATTGGGTTATTTTTAAAAGTTCCATTTGAAGTCTTCCAAATTCTGTTCATGAAGTGAGCGTACAAAAATCTAAGATGGCATACACACACATGCACACACTCACACACACACACACACACACACACACGCACGCATATAACCTTAGAGGACAGGGCAGTTTCACTTACAATTCACTGTAGTGAGTGATAAAGAGAAAGAAATTATATGATCATGTCCTTACCTTTTAAGACATTAAAAGACAGAAATAGTTAGAAATTTCTTTAACATGATAAAATACATCTGTTTCAACCCAAAAGCCAACATCATGCATATGGGAACATGTTTCTGTTAAAGTCAAGGACAAGCCAAGAATATTCCATTATTTAACATTGTTTTGGAGGTATTAAGCAATGCAATTAGAAAAGATGAAGCAATTAGATACATAAAAATTAAAAAGGAGAAGGTGAAATTTTGATAGTATTACCAAGTCAAAAAAAAACTCGAGTTCTTACACTATTACTAGTCAGCTCAGAATTTGTTTTCCTATATAATTGTTAGAAACTTGCACTTGAGTTCACAGAATAGCCAACATAAATGCATTTGATCCATAACGTGGCTGAACTGTGTTATTAATAATGTAGTAAACTCTATACTTTTCCTTTATAGAACTGTTCATATAGAAAAGTCCTTCTAAGCTCATCCAGCAACATCGTGAGTGCCCGAAACAAAAGTACATATAAAAACAATCACTGCCCTTGAGACAATCACAGTCTAGTGGGGGAAATATATAAATTATTTTTCCCTTCAAGAAAGTGTTATGATAAAGGCATGTGCTAATATTGCAATTAAACAACAGCAGGAATACTGTGTGGACTCCACGGTCACACAGCTAGATGTAACTTCCCAATTTTTCAGTGTCTTCACCCGTAAAATGTCAATAAATAGTACCTACTTCTTAGCGTTGTTGTAAAAAATAAAGGCGTTAATACATGTAAAACCCTTAAAAAGAACAGTGCTTAAATCTTTTGGCTTTGCAGCTCTGGAAAAGAGAGTAGGGACTGTCGGTTCCCTTCTTGCTTAGTGCTGCACCAGTGATGGTGGAATTCAGGATCTGTGACAGAGATGGGAGAGGTCAGTGGGGTTAGGAGACAGCTGGCCCGGGCTGTCCTAGGTGAAGGGCCGTGGTCATTTGAAGAGGTTGGTATGATTGCCCGGAGCCCTGGTGGTCCAGTAGTTCAGTGCTACAACTACTAACCAAAAGGTCAGCAGTTTGAATCTACCAGTCGCTCCTTGGAAACCCTATGGGGCGGTTCTACTCTGTGCTGTAGGGTTGCTATGTATGAGTCAAAATTGACAGCAACAGGTTTGGTTTATAGTACAGGTATGATTGCCCAAGGTGTCCTGTCAGAGCGCTAACCTGCTGTAATGGTGTGCTTTGTGTTGTTATTCCAGGTCTGGTGAGCTGTACCTTCTTTCTAGCAGTGAATGGTCTGTATTCCTCCAGCGATGATGTAATCGAATTAACGCCATCAAATTTCAACCGAGAAGTTATTCAAAGTGATAGTTTGTGGCTTGTAGAATTCTATGCTCCATGGTAAGTGTTATGAAATAGTTGTAGATTATTTGTGGTACTTCATAAATTTTTATATAGAAAAAATACTATCTAAAAATCTGGTTTTGTTCAGTCATCTAGCTTATCTAGCTTACTGCTTGTTTAAAAGAAGCTGAGGAAAGGCACTAGACGGTGCCCAGCTACCACCGATGACCACCCTGACAGGGAGCACAACAGAGAGTCCCTGTTGGAGCAGGAGAAAAGTGGGGTGCAGAAATCAAATCTTAGTAAGAAGACCAGACTTAATGGTCTGGCTGAGACTGGAGGAACCCCAGAAAGTATGGCCCCTGGACTATGTCAACCTAGAACTAAAACCATTCTCGAGGCCAACTCTTCAGTCAAAGATTAAACTGGACTGTGGGACATAAAAATGATACTTGTGAAGAGTGTGCTTCTTAGCTCAGGTAGATACGTGAGACTAAACGGGCAGCTTCTGTCTGGAGGTGAGATGAGAAGGCAGAGAGAGTGAGGAGCTGGCTGAATGGACACAGGAAATCAGGGAGGGAGAGGAGGAGTGTGCTGTCACAGTATGGGGAGAGCAGTTAGGGTCATATAACAATGTTTGTATAAATTTTTGTATGAGGGACTAACTTGAATTGTAAACTTCCACTTAAAGTACAACAATAAAATTAAATTAAATTAAAAAAAAAAAAGAAGCTGAGGAGAGGGAAATGGGAAACTCTTACAAAGTGTCTGTTGAAGAGTCTACTAAAGGCGACGGAGATTGAACCAGTAAAAAAAAGGAATAGAAGTAGCTAATTGTTGCAGGAAAGAAGAAGGGGGGGAACCTCATAATTTTAAGGAGAATACATATTTATGAGATAAGTAGAATGGGGATGGAAGGGAAACTAATTTTCTGAAGAAAGACTCTTGGGGGAAAGGAAATGGAGGAACCAGTGATTGACTCCATTCTGCTTACTGAAGAGGACTGTTTTCCTGAAACATGTCAGTAGGAAAAACTGATTGCATTTTAAAATTCTCCTCATGGCTCACAAGAGTAATTCATGGCTGGAAAAAACATGAAAACTAAAAAGATACACAGTTATGCAGTAAAACCTGTGAAAGCACAGGAACCTGTGTAAGGTGGAAACCTGTCAGATATTTTCCACTGAAACGAGCAATAGAAAACTGTCAGAGGCTGAAACCTTGCGAGGCCCAGAAAAACAAGGCAGTCCTGTTGAGTGCCAGCTCTCACGGGTTTCACTATATGTAGTCAAAATACAGAATTGTACTAATTGTTTATGTAATTAAACATTTAATGCAGACAACAACAAACAAGTAGAGGAGTAGAGGCAAATCAATGCAAATGATGCAGAATGGACATGAGACTGTCACCGCTGTGAACTGTCAAGCCACAAGTCCCTTGAGGAGGGTTTAACACCAGCCAACTGTATATATCTGTGAAGAGGAACTCACGGTGACCTAAAAGCAGTCCTTTTTTTTCCCCCCATTTTATTTTGTTGTTGAAGACGTGCACAGCAAAACATACACCAATTCAGCCATTTCTACATGTACAATTCAGTGATGTGGATTACATTCTTGGAGTTGTGCAGCCCTCCTTTTCTGAGTGGTCCCTCTCCCATTAACATAAACTCACTGCCCCCTAAGGTTTCTGTCTAATCTTCTGATTTGCCATTGTCACTTTGATCTCATATAATAGTTCTTAAAAGAGCTTAATGCTCAAGGCAGACGTTTTTTACTAGTTAAGGTAAACTATGGTTTTAAGAAGACTTCAGGGGACATTTTTGGTTTAAGGTTTAAAGGTTATCTCAGGGGAATAGTTTCGGGTTTATCGGCTTCTGTGGCTCCAGAAAGTCTGGAGTCCATGAGAATTTGAAAGTCTGTCCTGCATTTTCCCTGTTTTGATCAGATTTCTTTGGAAGAATTAAAGTAGTCTTTTAAATGTGACCAGTGCTTTATAAGCTGAAGTAGAAGTATTAAATAAAATTCTTAAAGTAACCTGAATGGATGTATTTTAGGGTATGCTGGATAAAAGTTTTTCCTTTATTGCCTTAATTATTTTCTATGGAGTACCATGAAACTCAGTTTTGGAAACTCAACACCAGTCCTCATGGAAAATTTCACTCCATGTTCACTGTAGCAAAATTTACAAGCCAAGTAATAAAGATTTGTGATTCACGCAGAAAAAAAGAACAGCTGTACAATAGAGGTGAAAACCCTCTACTTTAAAAGTTTATATTGCCACATTGTGAAAACTATTCATTTCCTATTTTTTAAAAGGCTTCAGTTTTTTGTATGTTAAATCTAAGTGATAATTCTGTATGGGTTAGCTAGCTTGTATTAGTAAATACACAAATAGTAATTGAACAAGCTGCTAGCTGTTGAACGCCTTTGTATACGATTTGTACGAGTGTGTTTTTTAACCATATTTTGACTATTATCATTTATGGCATCAATAATTTACCTTATTTCTGAGAGCTAGGATACAAGAGAGTATACCTCATTGTAAGACTGTACAGACGGCATAATTGAGAAGACAGAGCTCTGGATCATGTAGTTAATAATTGTTAAGCAGAGTTCTGCTTCTTGGGGTTCTGGGGAAGAGAATGTCTAACCTTTTAACTTCTTTTGGTGCCTTGGACTCCTTTGACAGCCTGCCAAAGGCTTTAGATCCCTTTTTGGAATAAAGGTTTTAATGCAAAATAAAACATGTAGAATCACAAAACCTGTTGCCATTGAGCAGATTCCGACTCATAGTGACCCTATAGGACAGAGTAGAACTGCCCCATGGGGTTTCCAAGGAGCAGCTGGCTAGTGGATTCGAACTGCCAACCTTTTGGTTAGCAACCAAACGCTTAAGCACTGCGCCACCAGGATCACAAAGGAAACCTAAAATAACGAACTATAGTTATCAAAATATTAAATCGTGAAGAGCAAGTACTTTACTAAGACAGCAACTACCAAGATCCAGCAGCAGGTCTAACAAGTGCCATTTTTAAATCGTGATGCACATAAACGTGTGCAGCAACTATAGTGATATGAAAATAGCTGTGATTTTTATTCATGACGAAGTCATAAGTACTGATCAACTATGGTAAGTCATTTGCCTTCATAACTGAAGAAAATTCTAAATTTCAACTGTAAGTTAGTGAAAATAGAGGTTCTTTTTCCTCCCTGTCCAAGTTCATGGATCTCCCCTTCCAAATTTTAATCCCCCAATTCCTGGGAGGGGGGCTGGTGTATGGACCACAGATGAAGAACCTCTGGATTGGAGAGGGTGGGACAAAGGACTCAATTTGGCCTTTAGCTTTGGTTCCTGAAAAATACTGGGTGCCATCGAGTTGATTCCGACTCATAGCGACGCTATATGACAGCGTAGGCTCCTTAGGGTTTCCTAGGCTGTAATCTTTACAGGAACAGATCGCCAGGTCGTTTCTTCCGCAGAGCCTCTGGGTGGGTTCGAACTGCCAACCTTTAAGATTAGCAGCCTAACGATTAACCGTTGCACCTCCAGGGCTCCTTCCTGAAGAATAAACCAAACCAAACCGCTGCTGTCAAGTCAATTCCGACTCATAGTGACCCTGTATGACAGAGTAGAACTGCCCCATAGGGTTTCCAAGGCTGTAATCTTTACGGAAGCAGACTGCCACATCTTTGTCCCGTGGAGCAGCTGGTGGGTTCAAATGTCCGACCTTTCGGTTGGCAACTGAGCACTTTAACCACTGCACTACCAGATCTCCAGTTGGGTCCTTAGAAACCTAATTAAAAGAGAATTTGCTTTATTTTGAATATGTACATGTGTATGTATATATATATGCATGCATATGTATATAACACACGCCAAATAACCTATGAGCACATAAACTATGGTGTATTCCTGTAGTGAATATGGATGGTATACAGATACAATGAATATTATACAACAAAGAAAATGAACAATATAGCTGCCTGCAACTTGAGTGAGTCTTAGAAATATAACAGTTTTGTGTATATATAATTTTTAAAGTACTTTTCTATGTGTGATATATCTCACTGTAATTTTTTTTTTAAACACTGGTGCCTAAGAGAGGGGAGCAGTGGTGGTTCAGTGGTAGAATTTTCAACTTCCAGTTGGGAGACCTGGGTTCAGCTCCCAGCCAACGCACCTCATGCACAGCCACCACCTGTCTGTTAGTGGAGACCTCCATGTTGCTATGATGCTGAACAGATTTCAGTGGAGCTTCCAGACTAAGGTGGGCTAGAAAGAAAGGCCTGGTGATCTACTTACAAAAGCAGCCATTGAAAACCCTGTGGATCACCAGTGTGGTCTGCAGCCGGTCATGGGGATGGCATAGGACAAGGCAGCATTTTCTTTCGTTCTGTGTAGGGTCGCCTTTATCGAGGGCCGACTTGATGGCAGCTAACGACAGTAGTACCTGAAAGACAAGTTATTTTTCCTCGTGTTTCTTTCTCTCTTTCACCTTGTGGTGTCACGTGCTTTTCAACTTGTTAGGCTTACTCATTCAGGTCTATGCGTGCATTTTTAACTCCAGAAGCAGCCTGTGTTAGCTGAAGAGCATTGAAAGCAGCCCCGGAGATCTATGCTGTAAATACAGATGCCTTGCCTATAAAAGGAAAAGATTGGTCTAGGTCAGGGAATATTAAACCTTAATAGGTTTAAGAACCACTAGTAGAACTTAATAAAATGCAGATTCCTAGACTCCTTCTCTAGGAGCACTCATTTCATGGGGCTCACGAATCTGCCTTTTGTCCAGCCTTGCAAGTTGGATCACACACTGAGGCACACTGGACCAGGTAAACTCTAATGGACCTGTTCAGGTCTAGTATTAGGAACTGATACAACTTATCTGAGCAGTGATTTTGAAACTTTTTATTGGACGATATGAAAAATGTTTGTGGTAAAAGTCATAAAATGGTGATTTTCTTAAGGTCACTGGTCATGTTTTATTAGTGCAAGCCCCAGGCCATCTCACTTAAGAAATCATTAATGGATTTTTTGTTTGTTTAAATTGGGGATCAGAGGCTTTAACTGTTGCGTGATTGTGTTCTTATCTCCTAAAAGGTGTGGCCACTGCCAAAGATTAACACCAGAATGGAAGAAAGTAGCAACTGCATTAAAAGTAAGTTTCTAAGATGTTCAAATTCACCTATATATGTTTAAATACACATACAAATGGGTTTAAAGAACTAATACTTTGCCAGTTGAGGCTCAAAACCCTTGTTCAGTTGTCAAAATCATAGACAACAAGAGGGTAATAGACGTTTTAGTTTTTAGATTGTCTTATTTTTGCTAATTATGTTTTCCACATGTGTGACAGAATTACTCTTAGTCACTCTAATTCTGGGAGTTGCAGAGTCCCCTCCCTGGGCTGTCTTCCATTTCACCCATTATTCCATTTTAAGATTCTCTTTTTATGATTTCCCAGACAAAAGCCCTCATTAACTGTGTTTATTAACTTAACCTGCTGTTTATTACTTGTCTCTGAGTTTATATAAATCAGATCATGGGTTCTGTGGAATCTGCTGTAATTGAAAGAAAAATAGATATTTCGTTAATATTTCCACAGGATATTGTAAAAGTTGGTGCAGTTGATGCAGATAAGCATCAGTCCCTAGGAGGTCAGTATGGTGTTCAGGGATTTCCTACCATCAAGATTTTTGGATCCAACAAAAACAGAGCTGAAGATTATCAGGGTAAGAACTTTTCTTCTCCATTCCTCTGGTGGAAATTACAATTTGAGCAGGTAGGTAAAAAAATAGGAGAGAGCCTATAACTTGTTAGCTCTGCTCCCTGGCAGGTTTCTCAACCTCTCTGTGTCAAAATTTCCTTATGTATAAAATGGTATAGAGCATTCCTGCCTCCTCTGAGTTGTTCTGAAGATTAAATGAAATATATGTCATGCTAGTAAAAGTTTTGTTATTTATGCTAGCTTAGGCCCACACCACCTTAGCAATGACAGAGTAATAGTGTTTTGTGATTCCCTCTTGTTTTTCTCATTATAATTACTTAATATTTAATAACAATCTGCAGGTATGTTCTTGTTCTAATCTCTCTACTTTTCTGAAGGAGAAGGGTCTAGCACATTGACATGGAAAAAGAAGAGCCTCTAATCCAAAAGTCACTTTAAATCATTTGTTGATATTGTTGCGGGACATTTTGCCTGTGAATCTTTATGCCTTGTAAACATACAGCATCTGAATATTAAGGCTGTTATTTAGTTCCCTAAACTACTAATAATAAATATGTACCATAAATTCTCTCTATTTTGTATATAAGTAAATTGTGAATACCCACTATGAATCACTGAGGTAACTGACAGAATTCTGGCTTCAGGCTCCCAAGACTAAACATTATTTCAGTCACACTGTTCTTTTATGGAATAGCCTTATCATTTAAGATACCCCAAACAGATCATTGTATTGAAGATCAGAATTGCTGGATTGGGTCAGATCCATGCTTCTAATAAAAATATTGACCATAATGTATTTAAAGTTTAAATTAATGGCTAATTTGATCAGGTTTTTTTTTTTTTTTAAGAAGATTTTGTTACATGGGATCTGTAAATGACTGAACTTAGAGCTTAACGTCTTAGTTTTTGCTGTATGTGAGAGGTACAAGTTTGCAGGGAGGAGGAGAATCAGCATCACAGTGAAACAAAGAGTGACTGTATTATCTGTACTGGTGTCTCGTATCCAGCTGGTAGAGAAAACCTCAGAAAAGGGAAAGGGAGGGGAGTACAAAATCTGTTATTGTGTGAACACCAGCCTGTGCTTAACTGCTGACTTCACCACACTCTTGCTTTGTAACAAAATATTTAGTCTTTCGGAATCTGTTTTTTATCTGTAAAGAAGTTTAGAAATTAAATTAAAATATTACACATAAAGTACAATGACAGATACATTGACCAATGGAACAGAATTGAGAACCCAGATGTAAATCCATCCACCTACAGTCACTTGATCTTCGACAAGGGCCCAAAGTCCATCAAATGGGGAAAAGACAGTCTTTTGAACAAATGGTGCTAGCAAAACTGGATATCCATTTGCAAAAAAATGAAACAGGACCCGTACCTCACACCATATACAAAAACTACT